CATAGCAGTTAATTCCTTAATAGCATTTCTGGTTTAATATAGACACCTGCTTAATTATAACAAAAATGCTTCCCGCATCTCGCATACCATTTGCTGCACAGAAAGCTTCTTAAAAAATGAGGAAAGTCACAGTCACAAATAAGTATATATGTTCATGTTCTAGGAAAGTTTAGATCATACAAAGGATTCCTAAAACAAGTAACTCATATCAGTAAGACTTTGACTGTTACTTATTTAAATGAAACCTTTATGAGTACTTATATATTGTAAAATCATTTCATTTAAGTTTACTTGATTTCACAAGGTTTATTTTAGTGAAGTTTTACACAACACAAATATAAAACAAGATTTAGCAATATAAATGTAATGTATTTTATTTTTTTAAATATTTTATTTGGAGATCCTCATACATGAACACTACATCAATATCACTCTCTCCTTCCATCTCTCTCCATATTCCACACCTCCCAATTCTTGATCTCTTCTTAATTATTGTTGTATGCACACAGACACACACAGATACACGCGTGTGTGTGTGTGTGTGTGAAAGCAATGCACACATGTTCACAGAAATATATGCAGCCTACTGAATCAACTTAACTTTGTTCATATATACATGTGCCCATGTCTCCCATGTCTGACCACTCAAGTTTGGACAACCTATGTGGGAGCTCATCCCTGTAGAAAACCAATTCTCCCTCTCAGCAGGGATTGGCTATTGAAAATGTGGAATTTTCCCTGACCAGGTCGGTGTGACAACTGGTGTTATCTTCATGCTGGTCTTATTTAGGCATCCAGTTGCTGAGTATACTTCAGTGCAGCTTGCCTGTAATATATAGAAGACACTGTTTCCTGGTTCTTACAATCCTTCCAACCCATCATCCATGATTTTCCCTGAACTTTGTTTATAGTGGCTGTGATAGTGATACAGACATAATAGTTGGGTTGGACACCCTGCAGTCACTTATTTTATGCATGTTGACCAGTTGAGCATCTCTTTAACAGGCTTTATCTGTTGCATGAAGAAGTTTCTTGATGAAAAGTGAGAGCCACACTTAACTGAGGGCATGATGACAAATATTTAGATGCAGTTACCAATTATATTGGCTTAGGGAAATAGCAGTAATAGGTTCTCCTCTAAAGTCTATGACTCTCCAGCCACAGGAAGCAGAAGAAGTTAAAGTTACCTGGTTTACATGTAAGTTACAGATATCTAACTTACAGGTACTTGGTTAAGTCACCAGACATGTGCTCTCTTCTACAGCCAGGCCAATGAGAGTGCCTGTCTCCAATATAAAGGTACCAATATTGCACCATTGAGGATGTGGTGATGGTCCAGTCACTGTACTAGTTCATGGGCTTGACAGCAGAGTAGGAACTTATTACGTCTGCCCCTTGACAGTTTGAATAGCATCTCCAGAGATTCTGAGACCAGAAATCACTCCAAACAATGGAGGATTCCAGTTCACTAAAAGGTATTATACTGAGAGAGACCATCCAGAACCACAATAACAAGGACTTCATGTTCTCTCTTATATGAAGATCATAAATCCAAATATTTGTGAGTATATACGCTGTAGTAATCACAGAAACAAGAAAAGTAAAAAGGGTGCATGGTATGTATGTTGTAGAGGAGAGATTCTAGAAGGGCAGATATTATGATACAGATATATTTTAGGGGTAGAGGGGAAACTGCTGGGATACTTCATTTGGAGAGAGGATGGAATAAAATGCAGAGGGGGGAAGAAGATGTGTGTGCGTACATATGCAAATAATTTAAATGAAATTGTGCCATGTGAGCTGAAATGGCTCCCAATAGCCACAGATTATTTAACAATAACTGCAATGACAAGCAAAAAGCATAATGTTGCTCAGGGGAGTCTAAGAGATTCCAAAAACAATATAGACTATTGCCATTTCTCTAGATTACCTTCTAGAACTTGAAGGTAAGACCCTGTTTCTGAAATGCCACTCTTTAGACACAGGTCTTTGAGGAATGAAGCTAAATAAAAGTTTGTGTGAATTTAAAATAAAGAAAAAAACAAGGTAGGACAGCTTTAAAAATAAGAAAATCAAACATTAACCATTTAAATATTAGGAATGTTATGAACTATTTATGAATAAATGATGTTAGAGTATCAATTTGTGTGTGTGGGGTGCACCCTTTTGTGCTAGTGCATGTAAATGCCAATGGTCACTGTTTAGTGTTTTCATCTATCTCGTTCCAGATGAATGTTTGAAACAAGGTCTCTCACGGAACCCAAACTAGCCTTTACAGCTAGACAACCAACCAAATAATTATGTGCATCCATAAGCTTTACCAGCATCTTACAGGATGCTTGTTGTATGTTAATGTATTTGTATTGTTTAGGTTGCTCTAAAGATGCTCTTGTGTATTCAAATAAATTCACCATGAAAGCATAATATAGTAGATTTAAAGTGTTTAATCTCTAATGGATAAAATGATGGGCCAAAGAACAGCACTTAAAAGTTCTAAGCAAACATCTGCACTACAGTTTATGAAAAGAATACCCTAAGTCATAACCTTATTATTTTTTCCAGAACTTTTCTTCTTAGATATCGTGGAAAAAATAAAAATTATTGAAAAAGTCATAATTTGATTGCAGGTAGTCAATATTCTGCAGGTTTACTTGATGAAATATTTTCTAAACATTATTATATTTATTCGTGTGTGTGTGTGTGTGTGTGCGCGCGCGTGTGTATGTATGTGTACTCATGCCGCCGCCATGGTGCACAGATTAAGGTCAGAAAACAACCTGTAAGCCTACTCTTTCCTTCTATTTCAATCTCAAGTCATTAGGCATGGTGGCAAGGGATAATTCTATTGAACGATCTCATGGGACAGTGTTTTGAAACTGGTATTCTAAAAATACAAATATGTATTCATAAAAATGAGTATTGCAGTGGATTTATTTGAAAAGATTGTTAGGTTAAACTGAGTTGTCAGTGAGAGGAGGTAAGACAGAGAGTGAACTAAGTGAAGGGTATTGTGCCAGCGTTGAGCCTGGAACCTGAAGGTGACGAGCAGGAGGGACAGACAGTGAGGAAAGGCCTGGGGTTCAAAGAGGAAACGAAAACGCATATGGCATTAGAGGGATTGATTAATCAGGTCATAGTTCTTCCATAATAAGACATCAATTACAGACAATTTTTAGTTTGAAGATAATATTCTTCAAATATTCTAATCTTATTTGATCTCTCTCAGAGAACAAATCAAAAGAAAATACTTCTTACCTATGAGGTTTGTATAATTTCTTGCCAAAATTAAACAGAAAATATTCCTGAAATAAACATTACATTGCTTCCAAAATTAGATGTGAATATGTAAAAATTCTAATGCATCTTATTAGTTAATAGAGCTTGATTTTGCATGACAGAATTTATTTTGCTGTACTCTATTATTTTGGATTTCATGAACATATCAGGCTGTATGATAGAGTTCAATACTCTTTCAAAGAACACCTTAGCAATGGAGAACAGAAAAAGCTTTGCGACCTATTTATGAAAACAGCTAGCATTTCTGTTTAAAAATATTATACTAAACATTTTCCAAAGGTCACCTATGAATAGTAATTCAAAAATTAAAGTAAAATTTTAAATTGGTAAGAGAAGAGGTAATAAAATATCCATTTGCTGATTCCATAATTGTTAGCAAAAAGTAAAACTGAAGGGATATTTTATAATTAATGGTGTCTTAGAGGAATTGAGTGGTAGAGAAATTCACTAGCATCAACCTGTGGCAAGCAGCAACTAAGGCCAATAGTTTAAGTAGGTATGTCTTCATAGTTGGCAGTAATTTGATAGTCCTCATAGTCCAGCCACATGGCTTTAACAAAATACCCTAGACTGAGCAATTTACAAACAGCAGAAATTGATTTTTCACAGTTTTTGAGCTGAGAAATCAGAGATCCATGTGTCTATAATCTTTGGGATGGGTCTGCTTCCTCACAGAAGGTTTTTTCTAGCTGTCTTGTGTACTGTGGACAATGTCTAATCCTCCCTCTAGCTACTTAAATGAGAGTGATAATTGCATTAATGAGTAATTTTCACCTGTGATCTAAGCACTTCCTGCCAAATTCCCACCTGAACATTTTGGGACTCAGAATTTCAGAGTACCAATTGAGGGGATTGATTCAGGCATTCAAAACTGAAAATTAATATTAACGCCTAATGTTATTTTATACGAGGATGGTATAACCTCCCAAACCGACCTTTAACTTTATTCAATGCCATTTACAACCTTAATATTGGAATGAAAGGCTTGTTTCAATGCTAATGCATTATTTTTCTATCTCTTCCTGTGATTATATATGGGACAGAAGCAATTCAAAGTAGAAATTAACCTAAGTTCACAATTTCAGAGGAAACTCTTTTACGTCTCTTGATCAATAAAGAAGCAGAGAGCTATGCCATAGATGATGTGGGGTGACCTCTTCAAGGACCATAAGTGGCACCAACCGCCTGAGTTTCTTATTCTCCTGCACCTCTAAGAAACAAGCAATCAAACACAATAGCCTGCCAGGGGCATTTCAGACCCAAACTTAAACATTCAGTGTGGAAGAGGGACAGAACAGAGTTCTGTTTTAGATATCAGTAGGTACAGATTATTCAGTATTCTTATATGGAAATGTATTAACCAGAATGAAACCTATCTTAATAATCATTATAACTGGTATGAGAACTGATTGTACATGGATGTTGTTAATGTTGATAGAAGAATCAGAAGTCATAAAGCAGTAGTTGGCATTCATCATTCCTTGTAGTCCTACTTGAAAAACAAATTCACCATGCTTTGATTTCATAAGATCCCTCCATGCACCTCAGCACCATCACTTTGCAAATCTCTTAAGGTCAGATTTTGTCACATTTCTCTTTCAACATCTCACAAAATCTATTCGTAATGGCTCGCATATAAGTTTAGTCACATGTCTTAATTGTTAAGACTTCTTTTTAAAAAACGTGCTTTTAAAATTTTTCAGAAATTTGGTACAACTCTATAAAAGTGAAGATGAGATGGAAATTCCAAAGAAGATTAAGACTCACTGGGCTGCACTGGGCTTGGAAGATACACAGCTTGTGAACTACTCGGTGTTGCTGGATTTCCCTGGGCCCTCTCCAGGCACCATCACTGTGAGCAGCTCTGGCCAGTGTTTTTATCCTGATGGCCAACCTTGCAGGGAAGAAGCCAGAAAAGGCCATAGCCAAGATCTGCTCTCCTCATATGCAGCCTATTCTGCCAAAGGAACTCTCCAGGTAATTTGACCATTTGTCTCTGTCATTTTCACTGAAATGGAATTAGAAAACAACAGCTTTCATCTAAATTGAACTAACTGGCAAGGTACAGCATACAAAAGTAGCCATTAAATATTTTCCATGTAGCAATGGCAGTGATCAAGGAAGATGGGAAGAACCTGAATCTTTACTTGTCAAATATTGAAGGTGAAAACACGTTAGACAGATTTAATTCAAAAGTGTTGAAGGTGCAACTGAGTTATTCACGTTTTCCTCAGCCCATATATTTCAAGAGAATCTCATTTATGGTTTTGAAGAGGCAAATTTGAATATGTTGATATGTAGAGAGAGAATAGAAATGGCTAGGATTGCATTTGCGATTGTTTATGCACATAAGAAATGAAGAGGAAAATTGATGTGATTATTCACACATTTGGGATTTGAAATGCAGCATGTCTGCATTCATGATGGCAAATGTGTGAAGGGGAGCCAGGTGTGCATTATTCCTCCAGCTTTCAGGGTTAGCTAGCTTCTGTGGTTCTTATGGCATTCTGGTTAGGAGCAGGCTAGGGCCACGTGAGTGGATTAAAGCTCACGCTGTGCTTACCTGCTATTTTTCTACCCTTTATATGATGCTGAGCTTCTTAGCTCTGTGCAAAGCTTCATTTCTGTTCCACCTGTGGACCACTGTGGGAATTAAAATAACTAATCTAAGTAAATCCTGTGTAACAATGCATGACACAGAGCACACACAACATTAAAAGTTAGAATTATTACCATCTTTTTGTAACATGAGGGCCTGCATGTTGGAGTTTCTGTCCTGCCCAGTTCCCACAGCTGGTAAGCCCCAAAGAAATTCATACAGAGGTCTCCATAAGTTCTAAACTGATTGGCCCGTTAGCTCAGACTTCATATTAACTCTTATGACTTATATAGCCCATTATTAGCCCATTATTAGTATCTGTGTTAGCCACATGGCTTAGTACCTTTTCCAGCAGGGCAGCTCACATCTTCTTTCTTCAGTGTCTGGGCAGGACTCCAGAAAGAGCTTCCTCTTTCCAGAATACTCTTGTTCTCATTGACCTGCCTATACTTCTTGCCTGGCTACTGATCAATCAGCATTTATTTAAAATATAATTCACAAAATACAATTGTCCTGCACCATCTTTTGATTTATATAACAGCTGTTTGGACTCATATAAAATATATTTTTATCAGACATGTTTAGTCTTTTTAAAATTGTAAATAGTCTAATTGAATACTGTTGGTATTTTCCTATATTTCTATTTTTATGCATGTCTTTACGATCTTTATAGTAAACTATAAGGAAAACATGGGGCATTTAAACAATTTAAACTTACTATTTGCAATTACTTAAAACTTGGATAACCAAGTTTTGTTATATTGCAACATACATTTTCTTTTCTTTTGGGGTTGCTGAGGAATGTAGTAATGCATGTGAACTAGAAGGCCATAAGACTTTTACTTGGTGTTGTTTCTCATCTTGGCTTTTAGCAGCATTACATATAACAAGCACAAACTATTGATTATATTTAATTTAATGTTAAATATATGCACTATTTTCAGCATAGAACTCATTTGGTTTGATAAACCATACCTTTCTGGCAACAATGGTAACATTTTTTAGCCAATGAAAATACAAGAAAGCAGTCACCATCTTTGCATTGGTTTAGAAGCTGTGAATTTAGGGCAATGTATGAAAAATTAATCTATTTTGTCTTAGATTCCAAACACTGACCAGAATCACACAGTATCTCTGTTCTCTTTATTCTATTTTTCCCTAGTACATGCAAATCATCTCCCTTCCCCACAAAAGAAACCCAAACCCCAAGAACAACAACAACCACTACGAGTTTAGTAATTCTTTGGACTCATTCTTACTTGCCTGGATTTCAGTTTCTCCTAGCAAATATTGATGATTTCTTGATCCTTGAGAAGTCTTGTTCCCTTAACGTGGTCCTCTATGATGATTATCATTAGACCATATATTTCATAGACCTGACTGCAGATATCTCAGAGCTCTGTGCATATTTATCTTATGAGTGATAGGTGGTAGATACTTTTGTTGTTTCTATAATAAACTAAGCTCTCCAGAATATTTATGAAATATTACATAAATAATTTATACACCAAAATTTACTTGTGACCATTTCATCATTTCAATGTATTTAAGTTTCTGATTTTAGTACGGAAGTTTCAAAAATACTAATAAATCAATTATTAAAAAGGATAATTGAAGATTAGATTGTTGTAAAATGTACTGCTTTGACACATTTAACTTTAACTAAAAGGGTGCTTGAAAGACAAATGCAGTTAACACATAAAACAACTCTTTCTATTTAAGATTTTAATTTGTAAAAGTTAGTTGTGTGACTTAGGTGAAGACAATAAGAATAACTATTTTAATATGTATAACACAAAAATATATTACATACAGTACATAAATAGATGCATGAAGAAAGTATATTTCTGATATGATACGTTTTAAACTCAAATGATCTAATGAGGATGCTCAAAAGAAAAACAATTCTCGCTGACTCTTGTCTGTGCACACAGAACATGGGAATACTTTTTTTTACATGTGCATACTTTTTACATCTATAGTCTAGGGGGTTGTTGTTACATTGAAATTCATACAAACAACTCTTAGGAAAATGGTGATTTTGTGTATCTTTGACCATTCCCCAATTTGAGTCAATCTTGGTGGTTGCTGTTGCTGATTCAGACATGATTCTTTTCTTATTTTGAGTATATTCTGTGTTCATGAATTTCTATGAGGCAGGGCCATTAACAAGTTTTTAAATTATTCTATTTTACTGCCAGTGAAGCTCCCCATAATGTTTGCTTGTGACAAGGTTGTTTGCAAAGGAGCAGCTCCCCTTTACTTTGAAGAACTGTCCTGGTCATTCATCATAGGACTGTTTTGTATAAGTTTCCGATTTTTGTTTTCTGGTAACCATCTAAAGAGCATTGTGATATCTGATATCTGCTCTGCAAACCTACTTAGTGCCAGCATGATGAATTGTGTGCCTTGCACATTCTTTGTAATCCATTGTGCATTAGAAAGGTGACATTGTTTACCCCACAATAATGACAGGTAGGTCAGTAAAAGGGTCTTAAGGGGATTGCCTTGTCAGATGCGAAATACATATTAAAATGGATATATAAATATCTTAACATGTGTGTGTTTAGCATTAGGAAATATAAAGATATTTATATTTTACTAAAATAAGAATAGCAACAAAAATATCATCACAGGAATACAGACACTGGACATAAGGTTTCACCATAAGTAATTAATTTTGTATACAGAAACTATGGCTTTTAGCTAATTGTTGCAAAATCATTTCTTTTGTCTTATTTGAAGTCAAACAAAAGAATATAATTAATATTTAATAGTTTTGTCTCTACTATGTTTTGATTTTGGGCAGGGGATTGATTTAGAGACCCATATATTTTAGGGATGTGGGTTGTTTTCCTTCTGTAAAATTTTGATTTTTGCTCAGGAAGCAATTCAAATAATGTAATTTTATGGCGAAGCTTATTTACAACACACATTGACTATGCATAAGATACATTGTTACTGATATATTTATTTGGTCTCTATTCCACAGACAGTAGAACTAAAGAGTCTATACAGTCAACTGCACAAATATGGAATTATTGAGTCTCCTAATCCTTTAAGGCCTTGTTCAAGTCAGGGGGAAAATGCCAGTTACATAAATGGTTATTGTGGGGTAGAAATGCCAAATCATAGTAAGTGTCTGGTAATTGGAAATATTTAATTAAGAATAACACTTATTATTATTTGGAAGAAAGTAGACATATTAAATAAAGATGTTATGGAAACATCAAAATGTTTTTAAGATTTTAAAAATTCAGATTTATTATATTTATCATACTGTGTGAATGTAACCTTCCAAATTTCTGTTTACCATGCCAAATAATAATAATTTGGGAAAATGCTTTGAAATTATGAATAAAGAATAAAACGCATATTAACTGGAAGCTTTAAGTAATGCAGAAATGAAATATTTGATTTGTGAATAAAGAGTTATCCATGGTATCAAGTTGGGCAAGATAAGTATGGTTTGCTGTCATGTGTAACTCTCATGGCACAGTAGTTTAACATGTGAAATCTGAACACATTATCAAATATTTGGCTGGAAAGTCTTAAAGAGAAAAAAATACCACTTTTAAAAATGGCTCCCATAACTCGTATTCTATTTGATTTTTTTCATGGCTGGGGAATGAAAAAAGGCAGAAGTACATATACTTGGTTTTAATTGATGAAAATTGCAGAACTCTGGAGGACAAGAACAGAAATTCATTATTTAAATACTGACTGCATGACCTTGAAGATGAAGTTTTCATGCCACCAACATAGCAACATGGCCTTGGACAGCTCTGCAACGTTGACAAGGGTCCAGCATTTCACTAGACATGTTTATTTTTCTCTTGTTGGTTCCATGTTTTGTTAACCTTTATAAGTCAAAGACAAATGAGTGAGAAGACATTTGCATGCAATTTTTCCTAATTTTAAAAACTGACATGTGATGTTCTCGGCAAATGTGACTTTCTGTCTGTGGTTTCAGATGATATGTTTGCTCCTCAATTGAGCTTTGCAGTAATGTAACAGACAGACTATTTGTGATCTCTTCACAACAACAGGGGGTCCGTAGTTAAGATGTTTGAATATACACATTTTAATTTGACTGCCTTATATTGAAGGATATTTTTTGAGACATGGTCTCATCAGCCTTCCTCTTCTTCCTGCATGTTGGAATTAAAGAGACAAATCACAGTGCCCAGTCCTATTTATAATGATATTAAATAACCATTACTATCATACAATTTAACTGAAATTTTATTCTGTTTTAAAGGTTTGCTTTGATTTAAAGAATATTATTTACAAAGATAATTCTGATTTTCTTGGAAATTTTAACTATATCTTCATTTATAAAAATATGAATGTTCTAACATAATGGTTTATAACAATA